TCTATTGTACCTGTTATAGCTTAATGCTAAAGGTCATCTTTCAGCTGGAAGGTGAAACTGATCTACTCTAAAGCAATTTCAGCCACTAGCAGGTGTATTTCCAGAATTCCCCTGCCTCCAACTGCTTGTGTTGCTTATCAACACAAACCACCTTCGTTATGCCTGTCAAGTCAACCTCACCTCATTATGCTGCAGCCACCAGTGGAGATGTGTTTATGGTAATTTGCAGTGTTAGACTTCTGCCTAACGTAGTGCTTTCCATGAAGAGCAACAAGCTCAGTTTAATCATCATCTGACCAGACCACCTTATTTCACCTTTGCACTCTTTAAAAAGCAAATCCATAGTGTACAAACCTAAGAACTATCCTTGGGCCCAGGACAACAACTTAACTGCATACTTCATTCTCCTTTGCCTATTACTTTATTAAATAATCTGCTGTTTACAGAAATATTTCTGTGTAATCCAAACAAGTCATAGATAACTTCACTTTATAAATGTGGTTAGACTTGGTCTCCAAATGTCAAACGGTTAACTCTTTTTGTGGTAACGTCATTTATGATGTCTTTAAAGTCTAATTTCTTGGTGCGCTGATGCTCTATAGACGGCATTGCCAAATCATTAAACCTTTCCTGGAACATCCGAGAGCGCAAGTAGTTTTTTATGATCTTCATTTTGCCGAAGACCTGTTCACCACCTGTGAGTCAAAGGTAGAGATAGGAAAATATGTCGCAGGTTCTTGCATTTCCAATGACAATGTTTGTGTGTACAGTTTCTTTTATTCACTGGAAGTCTTTCATAAAACTTTATGTATTTTATGTAGGATTTTTTCATCCTATCTATTGAATTTAGTGCACTAGTTGATCTGTTCTCTACTTCATAGGAGAACAGCAAGAACGGCAAAATATGGCCTTTTTTGATCTGCTGTATATCAGCCAGTCTACTCTATTGCAGAATGGGTAGAATAGGTTAGATACTTTGGAGATTCTATGCCCTCTGAATCTGCTGGTAGTTACTTTGCCATCTCTGTGAAAGACTTCCTTTTTGCCATTAAACGCACAACATTCACTCGATCAGAATCAGTAATTTTTGTTCGCCATCACGTGGGATCCTTGAAATTGATGGCATGATCCGTCTCTGAGCCACTATGCTTAGACTGCCCGATCGGGCAGCAAGCCCCTCCACCTGCACTGTGTTATCGGTACGGTTTGCTCTCTGTCTCCTCCTCAAACACACGCTATCACACAAGCTGCGACGGGAAAACTGCTACGCTGCTTTATTTCTGTCAACCAAGCTCCCCGTCTCAGCTGGCTCTCCTGCTCCGCTCTATCTTTCACACTGCACCTAGACCTCTGCCATCTTTCTCTTTTGGTGCTAAGCTCAAGTATTTCTGTAAAAGAAAAGGTGTTTTTCTCCCTTACATTAGCTAGCGGTTGCTATATTTTAAAATGGCTATGATAAATGCATTACTTCTTACCTGTCTCTGAATGGGCATCATTCTTCTGCAATTCCATCCTGGACCTGTTCCTGACTCATCCTCAGTTTATCTTTAATATTTACTCCTAAAATCCCTCAAGCCTTTCGTGCTATCTTCTTTTTTTATCTTTTCTTTTCTGTATGCCAGACTTCTGAAAACCTGACATTCTTAGTTTGCAGCGAAACTAACTTTAAAAGTTGCAGCCCGCCATTGTCCTGGTAAAACCATTTTATGTTGGGTGTGGGGAGTTCTAATGGCCCCTTATTTAAAGAAAAACATATTACATATACCAAATGCAGATAAATGTATATATTTATTTACTATAATATTAAATATTTTCATCACAAATATTTTCTGAAAAATTACTTCTGCCTGTCTTGTTTAATGGTCAGAGTGTCAATTTTGGGCCCCCAATCTGCAATTTTTTGTAGCTCCTACAGAGTTTGCATGAGCCTCTGTGTTTGCTCTGGGTTTTGTTATGAGGTTTAAAGCAAAATGGGCTTTTTTGTTGGTGTTTTGTTTCTGTCTATCGTGTAATGATCCCAACATATTACATTTCAGATTGTTGTTATACTTTTGAATGGAACACGATGCGTTATTGACACACTGGGTTCAATTAAAGGAAAGAAAACTACTTTACATCTCAGTGCATGGAGCAATTTCCCCTCCACACTACACACAGGCTGAGGATGTGGTCACACTGTGAGCATCAATTCAGTCACTCTGGATGGGTGTGCATGTGTGTGTTATTTCCACAGCCTGACCCTCCTTTGGACTCAATTTAAACCTGCAGTGAGGGCGAATCCTTTTATCTTTGGACTACACTCTACGGGGGCTATTTCAATCATTTGTGAGAGCTGACAGAGCCTGATAAAGAGAGGATTTAGTGGCGGACAGAGTGTGAGGCAATCCGTCACACTTTACCTTACTCTTTCGGGTTGTGCAAGGGCAATATTTCCTGATAATTTTATATCTAGTCAGTGTCTGGCAGCAGCCACCTCTATCCCCCATCAACTCATTAATCAGCACAAGCAAGCAATTAATATAAAATAAACTTAAGGAAACAAAATTAAAAATGATGCTGCTTATTATGAAACATGAAAGCAGAAACGTTAAAGTGAATAAACTGATCTTGAACATCAAAGTTAAACATTATTAAATAAAATTATATAGAAAGATAATCGTGTTGGAGTGATTTCATCATGCATTGATTTTCAGTTAAATCCAAGGTTAGTTTTTTTTTTTTTTTTTTTTTTTTTTGTGGAATAACCTAACATCGGTAACAAGACACGGATTTTTAAAAAAATAATAATTTATACCGCATGAAAACCTACCGATGTGCGTAAAAGTGGAAGCGTATCCCTTCTTTGCAAGTTGCGGGGGATTTGCTGTATTGTTTCTGCTATGAAATCTGTCCATCCGTGTCAGCGGTGCGTCCCTTGTCCTCTCTCCGTCCCTGCTCCTGTGAATGACTGAGTTCTTCGGTTGCAGCCAATCCTATCCAAAGGTGCGCATTCACACGCGCGCGCGCGCTCGCTCAGCCTCTCCTTCTCACCGTCTCCTCGCAATATCTCATTTCAGTAAGTCTCTGTCTGAATTCCCGCAACTATTTCACCGGATGCTGCAAAAAATAATAATAATAAAAAACAAACGAAAATAAAAGCAACAAATTATGATAAAAAGCGGCGAGTAAAACAAATAAAACAGTTGGACCATAACCTTAAATAAATAATACTTCTTATAGTTTAACATTAATACTCAAAAGCAGTTCTGTAACTAATTGATTTTTTACTTTGACTTAAAAGAACTCAGGCTTTCAGCACTTTTAGAGTCTTGTGGGAGTTTGTTTCAGATAAATGGAGCATATAGGAAGTAAACACAGCTTCTCCATTTTTTGTTCTGGTTCTGGGTGTACAGAGTAGACTTCAACTAGAAGACCTGTTTTGTCTGGGCGGTTGATACACTGACAACAGATCTGTTATGTATTGATATGCTGATCGATCCAGGGATTTATAGACTAACAGAAGGATTTTAAAAGTCTATTCTCGAGCCACTGAAAGCCAAAGTGAGGAACCGCACTGATTTGCTCTACTTTCTTAGTTCTAGTGAGAACACCGGCAGCAGAGTTTTGGATCAGCCTGTACAAATGTCAGTGATGTTCAATTATTATTATTATTAAGCATTGTGCAAGATATTTTATAAGGTTTGCTTATTGCTGTCATGTCATTGTCATGAGCTAATTGAAATACTTGAATAATTTGAAAAGAGACCTGGCATTCCACAGAACAATGTAATAGTTAATCACCACTGATATGGTTCATTTGACACAACACCTGAACCAAGTTTTAAATGCTGATCTACTTGGGTTTAGCATGCAGGCACAACTATTTTTGTGGTTTATAGAGAGTTTAATAGAGAGTTGTCTTGAATATAAAGGGCAGGAGTTGTAAGGACTAAAATGCCTTATTGATGTCAGAAAGGGAAATGCTATATTGAAGACTGTCATTTCTTTATACAAAACACGTTAATCATTTAAAAAGACATCCTCTGGAAGCAGACATCACTAGGTACTACTCCTCACTGCAAAAATCAAGACATAAAGGCTACATTTTCATAGGCTCAGCAAAATCAGACAATAACTGGGTTCATTTTAGCTACCGAAATAGGATAGAATTTGACTTAAGGCACATACATGTAAATAACCATGGATCGATCGATTGATCATTCTATCTATCTATCTATCTATCTATCTATCTATCTATCTATCTATCTATCTATCTATCTATCTATCTGTCTGTCTGTCTGTCTGTCTGTCTGTCTGTCTGTCTGTCTGTCTGTCTGTCTGTCTGTCTGTCTATCTGATATCATCCATCCAACCACCCATCCATTGATAAGATTATTTGAGTCTGTAAGTAAAACAAATTATAGAGTAACTGTTAAAACACCATTGTTTTAAACCTTTTTTTCAGTGTATACTGGTTTTCCCTTTCAGCTAATTGCAACTGAGCCAAATTCTTCTTCTTCTTCTTCTTATTGGATTTATTGGCGGTTGGCAACAAACATTTAGTAGCATTACCGCCACTTACTGTTATGGAGTGTGGTTCGTGATGGACTATCTAATTTCTTAGGGGAAAAAAAGAAAGACAGAAAAAAACAAAAAGAAAAACATAACTTTGTATTCTATCCGTCTATATCATACACACATTCACCCTCTCTATAATCAAAATTTATTAAATTATTATTATTATTATTATTAGTTTTCTTTAAAAATCGAATAATTTTTTTTGGATATGTTTACTCCCTAAATTCTTCCTCAAAATATCTACTAAATGAATCTTTTCTTTAATACATTCAAACTCTATCCTCATATATATTCTCTCGCTTTCAAATTCAGACATTACAACATGTTCTATTGTTTCGTATTTTTAGATTGGAGTTTAGTTTTAAACTCGCTTTCCCATGATGCAACGCGGGAAACGTCAGAACCAGGCGACTTCACGTTTGTACCCGAATTCCTCAGCGTGTGTTTCTCCACCTAACATAGGATATATCAGTGCTAAAAGCTTCAACCTTTGCTTCTCCAAAGGTGTAGTTTGTACTTTCAGGCCCTTTAGCAGTACAGCTGGTTTCCTTTGACCTATATCCGCAGAGTTTCACTTCTTCCATTTGTAACACGAGGAGCCTCTTTGTAAAATGGAGCGTTCTCCCGAGCAAAAAGCCGCAAAGTTTCTACTGGAAGCCTCTCTGCTTTATGAGGAGAAATGCCCGGAGCTTTCACGTTTCCTTCTGTAAGAACTTTTCTTCAATTTCTACGATAACTGTAGGATTACAACAAGTCCATCACAGTGTGCGCCTTATTGATGTAATGACTCGATGTGGCCGCTAGGTGGAGGACCTTCATAAGTAACTGAGATCTGGTCATGCTTTAAGCCTTATAACTTTATTATATTCATTTCCCACTAAGCCATATATTCTTGATATAATTCTACTATTCTATATAAAATAATTCCTTTGACTGAAAAAAGTTCTAGTTATTTAAGAGCTGAAAAGTGTAACTGTCTGCTGGTGTTTATATTTTATTAATGACTCCATGTGCTGTTATTGTGAATCCAGAATGAGATTCTCATGCTATGAAAACCTGGATTAAAAATAACAATTATTTCCTAGTTTAAACCCCCCAAAAATACAAAAACTTTAAAATGATTAAGATGATTGATGTTTGATTGCTGCTGAAATAATATAGCCTATTAACATTTAAGGCTTTCATAAGAGATGCACTGATGATGCTTTTCCTGGCTGATACTGATTTGCAATTTTCTTCTTGGGTTGAACTGACCGTTTCAATTTATATCACTTATTTTTTTAAAAGAGAAACAAACATGCTTCTTTGATCAAATGGTTAGTTTTTAATCCAGAGGAAAATTGAGCAACTCTATGACAATACTTGTTAATGCATTAAAAAATACAGTGTGTTCCTCATTATATGCATTATACGCGATTCTGTGAGGGGATGTATTTATAGTCCAAAAAGTGGTGGAAGCTGTTACATTTGAATTATTTTTATTTTTTTTAAAGAAATCTGTCTATTTCCGGATTGTTAATAAAACAGATTAGAGGTGGTTCAATATTTATCAAAATTATGATTTCCCTGGAAAATTGACCCTCTTGTAATTGGGATTCTTGCAAGGGATTATAAAGAAGGATTTCCATCCAATCATTCTTTCCTATACTGTTTAAATGGCTTTCATTAGCTTAGTTGCACTGCTTTTGTAGTTGCACAGTAAAAGCACGAGAGGAACTCACCTCTGTAGACCTCATCTTCTTTTTCATTTTTGGTAAGTCTAACCATGTTGAAAAGCACACAGTCTTTCGCTTTCTTTCTGCTGATCGGCCTATTGTTGGTTCTTGATAATACCAATTTCCAATTTACCGCGGTAGTCACAGTTCGCTGCATTGTTACCTTGGATTTCTCAGAAACTGAAAAGCTAGAAGTAATTTTGTGGGAAAATCCTCAGGCATTATAAAGAGTGGAGCAATTCCTTTTAGAGAAGGCTGTGATCTGGTAGCGTACATTTTATTTAAACAGTACACTGTCCTTTTTTTTTTTTAAATAAGCTTTATACTTAATTATAAACAAAGCTCAACCTTAAAATGCAATTTGATTAAAGGTAGACAGAATGTTCCTGATGTGCAACACAAAGCTGCAAACCTTTCTAAAGGTGTTCCAACCCCCACATTGTCCAGGATGCCACAAACTGCAGTGCACTGATCAGGGATTGTTTGGATGCACCAACACAGTTAAGTATTTTTCTACCAATGCAGTGCAGTATTCAGTCCCCTTGAGTCGATTCTTTGAACCAACTTGTGTTTTAGAGCTCCCTGTCTTCATATCTTAAGAACCAAAATGTTTCCCCGTTACTTTTAATGCCAATAACAACAAAAAGGTGGATGGAAACATAAACACAGGCTTTACTGTAAACCCCAGTTAGGAATATTTTACAGATATGTGTATGAGCCCTTTGCAATGTTAATACACTGATCTGTTCTTTATATTTCTATGCAGCAATACCCGGTTGTCTTACTGGACATTTTGACATGTTTTAACAGTAACCAACTGCCCAAGAGGCACAGTTTAAAAAACCATTTCCAGATTGCAAACGCATCCCATTTTTATGCCAAAGTGCCTGGAAAGAAAGGCATAAACATCAGCCACAGCCAACATTTTACACTTGACTTGATGAGCTAATTAAAGGGGCTTCATCAAGGGTGTTATGTGAAAGCTTGAATAATAGCTAGAAAATGACCCTAATAGGAATCCACATTATTAACTCCTCTCGGTAGATGTGAGGGAATTTCCCAATCCATTAAAAGAATCTCAGTAGTGCCACTTTGGAGTTTGTTGTGTTTTCATGATTGACCCGTTTGCTATGAGGGTCTTCATCATTGTGTAACTATGGTGTTAGTTTGTGGGTGTTTTTCTCATTAGGTTTGCAAACCAAAGATGCTTGTTGTGCAAACTTTCTCTGTGTAATGTTGACTGAATGCAATAGTTTGCTTTGTTTACATTTCTGTGTTTGTTTTAAAGTTTTAGTAACGATCTGTTTGTATAGAGTATTAAATCAGCTTCTGTGAAACCTTGTTTTATTTTTATCTAATGAATGGAGAATAAGGAATATAAGGAATCACAATTGTCCAAGCATTATGCCCAGTCATAATATTAACTAGGGTGTTATTTTTTTAAGCATACAAGCATTTCCCTTATATATTCAGAGAGTCAGATAGATTCAAACTGCCTTTATAGTTTGAATCTTTGTGGCTGAGATGATGCTGCGGAAACATTGGAAGTGGCAAAAAAAAAAAAAGACTATTTAGCTGTTTGTTTCTGAAGTTTAGCAGCTCGAGACTATATATTTCAACTTATCTCACTTTATTGAAACAATTTTTTTGCATTTTTAACACTTTTGCTTTATTTTTTACAAAAAACAGAGCAACAAAAAGAGTAACTTTATTTCAGAAGCAATTTTAATGCTTATAAACCACTGCCAGGCTCAAAGTAAACAGCTATAAACTGACTCTGGATTCAGTAAAATGCATTTTTTTTATTTGTGAAAGCTTTACTCATTCTGTGAAAACTGTTGTTTTCTTCTTTTCTAGCTTTTCTGAACCCAACACTGTGTATTTTTCTGTCTCTACAGCTGAAGGAGTAGTTTTAACTCGTATATCCCTTTTTTACTTTTCTTGGGGTGGGGGGCACAATCAAAGGAGCCGATGTATGGGGATTAACTATCTACTTTTGCTTAGATTGAGATTCTTGATATCTACATAATGAGCTGTTGTCATCATCATTTATTTGCTTTATGTCAGCTATGCTTCTTGTTTGTTAATCTTTTAATTTATCTCACTCTGCAAGATGAGATAATTTATATCGCCCCTCAAATCTGAACATTATGGGCGATGCATAAACAACACTGTGCAGATTGCATCTCCAAGCTGACCTCAGTTCATGTTTGCAGCACATATTTTCAGTCTCTATCACCATGATGAACTATGCTCTTAAAAGGAGATGCATGACAAGTATGTTAATGAGTCTTGTGCACTGGGGTATGTCTTAGTGGTCTGCTGTTTCTGGGAGCCGACTCAGCTGAGAAACAGGAAGACAACTGAATTCCCAAAAGACCCTGGGTCTTTGCTTTGATTGTGTGCCAAAGAATTTCAAAAAGCTTTTTCTTGAGATCAGATGGTTTAGTCGCTGTCCTTTGGGTTAAATTTAGGCAGTTATTTAAATTGTGGTGAGCAGCTGGATCTTAGAAAAATTAGATTTAATGAAAGATTTATAGAAAATGTTAGAATAAACAACTTTTAGAAGTGTTTGGCCTTTTTAACTGTTTAAAGTCTCAAGTCGTCTGCAGTTATGTACAGCTTGACTGTACTTCTAGTGTCCTCTGAAAACACAATCTATCTGTTTTACAGAGTATATGGAGCTAAATTTGGCCATAAAATAAATTTTAAAAAGAATTCAACCAAAAAAAAAAAAAAAAAGTTTAAAAAACATTTGTTTTTCAGGTATACATTTTTTTTAACAAACTTTTTCTTTTTCTTTCTTTGTTTTTTGGGAATAGAATATATGGCCCCAATTCAGCTCCATATCCGACCTACACGCCAATAGTGGGCCATACTTTCGAAGCCAAAAAAACAAAAATCTGAAAGTTTGAAAAAATAACTTGAAACCGGAAAATATTTTTTCTTTTGAACAAACAAATCTTTTTTTTTAGGTGTTAATATTTATCTTTTGAAAAAACTATTGTTCAGGTTTATATTTAACAACTTTTATTTTTCAAATAATTTTTTTTTAACAAACTTTTTCAGGTTTAAAGCAAACTTTAAACTTTGCTTTGAACAAACTTTACAGCTCCAATGTAGCTCCATAAGAAAGGTTGAGTTTTGTGCTGCACAGAGCTTTTCTAAAGTAAAAATTAAAATGTAAAAAATTAAACTCTTATGGCCTTATTTTAACAGTAACCTTTGTATTCACCCTCCTCCATACTGACAATTAGAGTTTTCACCTAAAAATGTGAATTGCATGGAGGTTTGTTAATGTAACAAAATGAAATAATGTTGAACTCCCAGCTTATGCGAAGCATCAGGGAACATTAGCCAATCAGCAGCTGGCCACTGTGAGCCAGCTTCAGATTAAAAACAACCTGATATCCCCTCCTCTTTTCCATAAGCACACAGCCTGCACCATTCTCACGTGCAGCTAGATACTAAATGACCCTAGTCATTGATTTAGGCCTGGAGCTAATTTTAGCAGGGCTTAGCTGTGGCTTAGTTAAAATGTTTGCACAAATATCTCATTGAGAGTGCTCTAAAAGTAGAGGAAGCCCTGTGGGAAGGTGAAATTGCCCTATATTGCTTTGGGAGAGACCTCACTGGGTGTTGGCGTCAAACATTTTCCGAATAGATTTTTCCAGGTTGTTTTTATATAAACATTTATGATGCACTAACCCCAATGGAATGCACATGGAAGCATATATTAAATTATTTAAAACGTGATAATACAATTCAATTAACATCTAATGTGATCTTCCTCTCTTGTAGGCAGCAGCCGTTCAAGATTAAAGGTAAGTTGTGACCAAAATATTCTTATTCTCTCACGGTTCCTGTCAAAATTCAGTCTTGTATGTATTTCATCAGCTGTGGCCTAAAGTGTAAAAGCCAGATAAACAGAATGAAGTAGCCAGCAGGACCTTGTCACCAGCTTATCAAGGTTGATGAAACTCAATAAATCCTCCGGCAAACATACTCCGCCGAACAGCTGTCTGCAGCAGACTGCGGGTCGGGATCAAACGCGTTCTGCACATGCAATTTCAGACCCATGCCAGCAGAAACCACATCAGGGTAGGAACAGTAATGCTGTTTAACACTGACTGCTAAGGGTTCACGTCATAAATAGAAGCGGTATTGGTCCTTAAGAACGAAACAACTGTCTGATAAATGCACAATGTTGAAAATCTACTAATTTAGAAAAATAATTAATTTTCTGTTTGATTTTATAGATACACATACACCTAGATCGATTTCAGTGCACAAGTTGCACCATTAGTTGACCAATATCTTAACTTTTTCTGTACATATGCATACACTTTACTGAAATACCTGCATCTTTACCTAGTTATAAGGTTTTGAAATGATGTATTATTATTTCAAAATGTAAAAAATGCATTCTTGTGTCTGTTCCTGAGTAGAATATTTCAGTCATCTTTGAGAGAGAGACTAGAGTTAGATATCTAAAACAACAACTTTGTTTTCAAACTATGTCTCATTGGACAAATGAACAATGATGTTTGAGAGAACAGTCAACAACTTTTAGGCAAGGTAATAATGTAGCTCAAACCTTGCCCAGTGCCAGAGGACATCATGATGGGGAACATTTATGAGCTTGTTAATGCTAAATCACAGTCATAATATTTTATAATACGTTCTTGTTTTTGTTTGATATTTATTTACCTGAATAATCATCATTGAAATAGTTTGTTCTGATCAATGAAACTTCATCATCAGTGCTATTGGCTATTTTAGAAACTGCTAAGTCTGTGGTTTATATAGTAGATGAATAGGTTACACTTTAATTAAACTTCCAAGTAAGCAAAAGTGTTTAAACACACACACAATACAAATAAATATTCACTGCACATAATAAATGGCAGAATGCGTAAAAGAGAAACTAAATTCAAAGCTAGGGAATGTCATTTGAGTTCAGGATTGGACATAATATTTAAAAACGAAGGTTTCTCCTTTACCAGCAGGTTTGTGGGATAAGGAGCAGAACAATGATGTCACTGAAGTGAAGAGGGCAGAGCTTAGAACAAAACCCTGTGGGGTACCAGCGCTGAGCATAGATATCCTAAACCTAACCGTCTGGGGCCCGTTGGTGCAGAAATCAGTGATCCAGGACCTCAACGGTACAGATGACCTAATTTTTTTTAACTTCAGGGCCAGCATGTCTGGAAGGATGGTGTTGAAGGCTAAGCTGAAGCCCACTAATGGTATTCTGGTGTTAGGGTGCTGGATATGAGTCGGCATCCCCTGTAGGACAGTTTTCTCTGTAAGCAAACGGCATGTTGTCCAAGCCAACGGGGATGGGGTCCTCGTTCTGCTTTAGGAGGACCTCTCCAAGCACTTTATGATGACTGTGCTCAGAGCGACATAACAGAAGTGGTTGAGGCAGGGGATGTTGGGTGTTTTGGTAAGCACAATTACCCAGGACTTCAGGTGGACGAGGATGAAAACCCCCTGCAGGTTGGTCTGCATATGATTTTAGGGCCTGGCCTGATGCCATGAGACCTGCAGTCTTGTTTTTGTTGATCTTCCTTGAACAAGATTAACGGTCCTTAGATTGTTTGGATGCAGCTAAAGACAATATGGTTCTAGGAACAGATCATTTTTGTAATAAAGTCTTCTCCTTTCCCATAGAATGGAATAAGGGTGCCCAGATTAAGATAATAACAGTCTTTCTAATTACAGTTTGGTAAATAAAGTGAGCGGACGTTTTCTACGTGTACTAGTCCATTTATAAATCTTTTATTAATCTTAACAAAGAGAATGCCCTCTGTTGTAACTGTTTAGTTCTGAGTAATTTTCTCTTATGATTTCAGGAATAGAGAAGAAAAACAAGCAAACTCTCTTCAAATTGTTGCAGAGTACTTCGGTGTGTCTGTACTGTTACCAGTGGCTGAAGCCGGGCAATCATAGGGTGCGACTGCGGCCAAAGCGCCGTCCGTCGGCACGCGTGCAGCAAGTCCTACATAGACATGCCAGAGGAAAACGTCTGAGCCTCATACAAAAAAAGCTGCTCCTCCGCTTCCAAAAGTCGCCTTCAGTGCTGGTGAGTAAAGATAACAGCATCTCAATATTTACTGTCGAGTTCATGCATGTTTTCTTTATACCTTTCCCCTCACTGTGACCTTTAGTTATACATTAGCCTAACCTGTGAGAGAATCAATGTTCTGGTCACAGCGCTCCACTTTTCCCCGTCGCCCTAATGGATGGCACCAGCGAGTGACAAAATGGAAAGCATATTCTGGCTGTCACCTACCCACTCCCCATGTTATCTCATTTAGAAGAGGGCACTGGTGATGGAGGATGTGACCACAGGGTCTTTCTTCCCCTCCATCCATCAGCTGAAATTGGAGAGAGGCTCTGAAGAGCCCATCTGATATTCACCACTGGCTGGATTTATTTGCTTTACAGATCTTTACCTCACAAGCCAATCTGTAGCTTTTTCTTCACTATGTGTGTATTATTTCAGGGCAAATGAGTGGATAGAGATTAATTATAGTGAAAAAATAAACACATCAACATTTGAAAGAAAAATAGCAAGTAGGACACAGATATATGTGAGAACACGTCAAACGCTGGACAGCAGTAGCAGTAGATTTATACCAAGCGGCTGCTGTGTGCTCTTTTTCCGCCTGTGTGGATTACTCTAAGTATTTTATTAATATCACCATGATAAACTGTCTCACCACCATCACAGAGAAACAGATAATAAATATTCCCTCAGAATCATGTAAGCCTGCTCTGACAGCGTCAACACGTTTTTCCAGAGGGGCCTTTGGGTTGGAATTATATTCAAATAGAGAGACTGATGAGTTTAGGAAATTAGTGCTTTTCTAAAAACATTGTTATTCCTAGAGCCGTTAACCTCATTGTATCTACTTGGAATTTTCAGTGATAAACTAATAATGCAAATTTATACTGGAGTTATATCATTGAAAATCTGCTTTTACATTTGTTTGTTTAGTGATGAAGGAAAATAAGACCGAATAGAAAATCCATTTATAGTCCCACAGTGGGGAAATTGTGGCATTACAGCAGCAAAATATTATAGCAAAATTGGTCATACAAATGTGGACTTTAAAAATAACTTTAGTGAGAGAGTTAAGAAAATGAAATACTGTACTATACAGTGTTTTTACAATATAAATATTGGGCATCTGGAAAGAGTAACTAATCAATATATATTTTTACAGTAATGGATATGTGGAAAAAATAGCAGCCAACACCAGAGATGTGCAAAAATGATACCAGCATGTTATTTATGTAAATAAGACAGAAACTGTGCAAAAATCAGCATGAATGTAACAATTTATTGAGGTTGTTGTGAACAGTGGTGGTTATAAAGTCTCACAGCTGCTGGGAGGAAGGATCTGTGGTAACACTCCATGGTGCATTTAGGGTGCAGCAGTCTGTCACTGAAGGAGCTCTCCAGTTCAGCAGCATCTTCATGCATGGGGTGGGAGAAAATAACATCTTTATCCAAAGAAGATGTTATTTTTGTTTCTCACCTCCTACACTGAGTCCAGAGGGTGTCCAATCACAGAGCGGGCCTTTCTGATCAGCGTATAAGACAGATGCTGTTAATAAATCTGTAGTTAATAGTTTTACAGCAAAGATAAAAAAAAACAACAACATATTTTTAATACTTTAATCAGGGTATCAGTGAGTTCTTGTAGTATTTTTTTTTTATAAATTTCACCAAATTGACCACTAAATGTTTTTTGAGTCTCAAAAGTAACATTTTTGCAGTCTTGTGTTTATCTCATTGCTTTATCTTAGGATTGTGTGTGCATACAAAAGATGATAAATTTAGTATTTTTACATCTTATCTTAAAAATTACTTATCTAAAAGTTAATCACAACATTTAACTAAATTATTTTAAAATACTACTGCCACATCCTGCAGTATATGTTGTACAACCAAAGCAAAACTCCCGAATTAGCCATTTGCTACTTAAACTGCACTTGGATGTAGAAGCAAAGCTCATAGAACAAGTAGTAAATCAAATTATTTCTGGTTCAGCTCGATCCAAAATTAGCTCTGCTGTTAAACTTTGCTGTCTTTAAACAGACTGTGTTTACTTTGGGTCTCACTCAGACCTGACTGTGCAAGTCTGCTCTTACTCACGTGTCCGCTGTCATTACATTCAACGGTGTTTATGTAGGATGGTCACATGACTTCCTAGTGAACTGATCCGCCACAGGAATGTCCCTTTGAGATATTTATATTCTGAGTCCTTTTTTTTTTTTTTTTTTTTTTTTCTTTGTTGCTGCCCTGTCGTCCTCTGGTTAGTCAAGAGGCAAAACTCCACCTTCCCTCAGTAGAGGGGCAATAGCAAAGTGACTGTCAAAGCGGTAAAATATAAAGAGAGATGTGGAATGGTTTTGTTTCTTAAGGTGCTAGGTAGCATGCAAATAAACATCATAACAATGGTTAAGAGGTAGAAATGAAAACATCCTTTAGTGTTCTTTAAATAGCAGAGCTATAGTTTAAAATAGAGGATTTAGAGTTACAGATTTGCTTCAATGAGTGCTCTATCAATGAGGCATACTTCAAAATAAAATGCAGATTAGAGAACATTGAAAGGACCCTGTTTCATACATGTGTGAAACCTAGAAACCCAGAGGCCCGTGCATTGCTTGCACAAAAAATTCCCTTCACTCAATTTTTGAAAGTTTTATCAAAGGGGAAAGTCGGAGCTCTTTTGTTTGTTGCTTCTTATTCTAAAACTTACAGCTTTTTATCTTGAGACATTTGTTTGGGGAGATGTTTTTCCTTAAGAGTCCTTGGTAAGAAAGACAATGTTGTTTTGAAGCTTTTGTTTTCATAATCACCTTAAAGGTATTGTAGAGGTTTTTTTGCCAATTTTTTAAATGAGCTGCCCTCTCCATTTAAAAACAAAATGCACGTGCAAGAGCATGCACAAGCCCATTTCTCCTCGTGCACGCTCTGTTTAAAATTTACTGTTCGTATCGATCATACAAGCTTACTGTACAATCCAACACAAGATCCTAATATCCGTAGTGTCTTTCCAGTCTTAACATTCTGTTCATGGGTTTCAATGTTAATCAGCTTTAACAGTAAGCAGGAGGACGCCGTTCTTTGTAATGGCCTTAGACAAAGTATGTCACCACAGAGCTTTGTGGTTGTGCTCATTTGTCTCATCTTCCTCTATAAAATACAATAGGCTGCTTTATATGATAATAATCACAGAGCTTCCTTACCGTAAGAGTCCAGGGGGTGTGTGTGTGTACCTGTCTAGCCTTTAGAGTGAGGACCATTTTTCCAATTTCACCATCAAATTGAGGACCAGTTGCTGCAAAGTGAGGACACTTTGCTGGTCCTCACATGCTATTTTGCTAATAGGTTTAGGGTTAGTTTTAGGGTTAAGGCATAGAAAGGGTTGAAAATGACTGAAAATCAATGGTAGTCAACACATGGTCCTCACTACGATGGCAGAATGAGTATGTATGTGTGGGTCTGTGTGTAGCCTCTGACAGAAGTTTATTGTAACTAAGAATGAGTATCTGCAGATCTTGGTACCTATTGTTCCTGTTCTTTACAAGTGTCAACAATGGTGGGGTCCTGTTTTAGACTAGCACATTACCTTTTTTTTTATTAGTTCTCTAGTCATTTTTTTGTTTGTTTTTTTATCTTTTTCCAGGCTACGTTTTCCTCTAAAAGCTTTTCTGTTTTTTGGAAGTAAAACTCTACATCCTCCTAAAAGTGTGTTTACAGCTTCTTCTCTTAAAGTGAGTTTGCATCAAGTCGAAAGGAAAACACGTGCCTAATGCATACACACTCATTCACATGGTATGTTTATACTTGTGGCTGTAAATCCCCCCCTCATTTCACACCGTATTGCCCCCCCTTTGGGACCAGCGTGTATATTCAGTATGTGACTCCCTCGGGGTGGATGCCAGTACACAACAGACTTTCCTCAACCCTGTGGAGCTGTGTCTTGCAGATATTATAAATCAGAAATGTTTATGCATGCCGGACAGGTTATCTCGCGGCGGATATGGAAATAAGTTGGGTTGCAGGCCCACAAGAGACACAGACCGTAAATGGAGCGAAGAAGAAAAGCATATTCTCCTCTTCCATTCCTTTCCCTCCTTCCTCTTTGAGTGTAGATTTACACTTCTGGGCAGGGTCATTTATTACAACAGACATATTCAGTTCAGTCGCCTCACTGGCTAAATATAATCATATTTGTTTGGATAGTTAATTAATAAACCAAACTGGAATTTTAGTTTTGTTTTTATCCTTTTGTTTGTATTTTACTCCATAAATCCTTTCTTCTCCCCTCTCATGCTGTTTGTGTTTGAACGCTCGTTGAGCACCACAACTATAGTGGGAGGGAAATACTTTCTCTGTCAAATTAGTATTCAAAATAATGAATCTAACGATGATGAATTGACCAACATGTGTGTATATCAGCTTGTATGGACAGAGCAAAAACACTAATATTGACCATAAATATCAGCCGGCCAATGTCTCGATCTTTCTCTAGTTTGAATGTGAAAGGTCTGACAGAGTAGTTCAGGGGAGGACTTGGGTCAAAATTGCAAAATTCAAGTGGAAAAATCAATTTAGAGGAAAGGCATTTGACATGAAATCAATATTTTCTCTCGAAAGAAGAGTTGAAAGAGGAAAACCGGTGTAAAAAAGCAATATTTATTATTTATCTTTGATTAATATGACTTAAGTGGAAGGTTTGAGTTGGTCATACGAGTTTAATAAAAAGCTAATGCTTTCTGTGTAATTAAATAGTATGTTTACAGTTCTTCTGATTCAATCTGACTGGACTTAAGTTATTTTTATTAAGATTGGAGAACAAATTCAGTCTTTGGAATCGACTTTCCCTCCAAAAAAGACTGCAGTGAATATATGAAACGTTGACACAGGGGCTTAAAGCGAATGTATGCCACACCTTGAGAATTTGGATTTATTTTGTACGGAAAGATGACGACAAAAAAATTGCCATAGTTGTTTTCTCATTTGTTTTTTCTGACCATCAAATATATTTTCATTTCTGAAACACA